CTTCTCTTTCCCTTCTCAATTATTGCCCGTTATTGCCCCTATCCATCCGTCACGCCACCAGTAACTGAAGCCGTAATTTGCGTCGAACTCCCTCACCCACTTCGGCTAGTCGCGATGCAGACACTTCTCACCAAGGCGAATACGATGTTCCCCCCTACTCGAATGCGACTCTTATCGCGTCCCTACTGACACTGAGGAATAATCTGCTTACGATTTGCTTCAGTTTGCGACCCTCGATGGGGTGGAGGTGGTTTTTAAGACTGGTGGACGTGGGTTGGATCTGACCTTGACCCCTCTTCGTTCTCTTCCAATTAAGGAATCCAGGGACTAGGAAATATAATATAAACTCTTGGCTTAAGTTGGAGCAGAACTCGAGGGATGGGGTCCCATTCTCAAAGGCGAGTCCTCGAAAGGAGTGTGGATAGGGGTGTGGGAGTGTACTAGGACCTTCAGCCTCGAACAGGCCACCTGCTGGGAGGAGACCAATCGGTTGATTCCCTGTAACGAGCCCTATGGCCACGCAAGAAATACTCCGAACAAGAAGCCTGTAGTGGACTATTCATTCCATGCTTTTTATCCAGAGGCTTCGCTTTTGGCTGGAACGTAGACATTGAAGGCGTGTGGGAGGCGAAAACACTGGAAACAGAAGGCTGCCACTTGAGCAATTTTATACCTCAACTCCTATACTCCTAACTACTTCCAACATTCCGTCGCGAAACTGGCGCCTGCGGGCCAACGATCCTTCCCACACAGTTCCTTTCTATTTTCTTAATTCATCGAAAACAGTTCTTTTGAAATCGCTTGCTTCCTCTCCTCTTTTCTTACCACATAGTTCCGTCCTTTCAAGAGTGTACCGTTCGACGAAGTGAGCAACATCACGGAGCCCACCCTTGAAGAAATCAACCAGGATGAAGGCGTTGCTGACTACTTATTCAACGGGGACATCAACCTTACTGAGTATGTAGGCAAGAAGTATTTCGTTACGAATTTTTTCAGCAAATGGAGCGCCATTTCAGAAAACAACTAGAAATGATCGAGCGCAGTTTGACTGAAAGCAACATGACCCGCCACAAACGTCAAATGGATTCTGTCAATCCACGATGGCCGAACAACCAGCTGTTTTATGAGTTTCATAGTAGCACAAGTATGAGAGCCTTACGATCTTCAACCTTGAACTTGAACGGCACAGTCCACTCTGATAGCTTCGGAAGGGTTGCCAATGGACAGATCCTCTCTGCACCCCCTTACTTACGACAAAAAGACACGCTATAAGCACTTCGGCTGACTGTCTCTGCCCCTTGCTATCAGCGTGGACGATGGCGCCCAGCTTCACCTTAAAGTCATTTTTTCAGATACCAGATTTCGAAATATCGTGAAACAGGCTCTGAACTACATAAGCGGTCGTACGTGTATCACATTTACCCAGAGCGCTTCCGCACCCAACCGCGTGCAGGTGTTCAGCGGTAGTGGTTGTTGGTCTTCAGTCGGAATGGTTGGAGGTGTACAGCAGCTATCACTGGGCAAAGGTTGTGATCAGGTAAGGAGATTATCTCAGAACGATACTTAACCAGGCTCTTTCAGAAGCTCACCGCACCATTTTTTGAACGAAGAGACTTTCTCCGTTTAGAAGGTGGCAGTTTCTCAGCTGAAGAAATAAAC